GGAAAGGCCAGGTACGGCAGAGGAGTGAGGAAAGGTGTAAATGTTTTAGACCTGGGAATAAAGCAGGCAATAAAGGAGGAAGCATAGGGTGGCACTTCGAAGTATGAAGAGGAGGATGAGAAGGAGAATTTGAAATGCAGCAGATCCAAGATGCAGCAGGGTTCGTGCTTTCCTCCAAGTGAAACAGTTTGAAATCAGCACCCTAAACCCTCGAGGAACCTTGAGATGAGACGTCTGAGGGTTTTGTTAACGGTGGACAGTGACATGCTGAGGTGTGAAACATGAGGAGCTCGGCTCAGTTGCACTGCTTAAACGTTCAGCCTTTAAACTACATTTGTGTTCAGGGTGAGCTTTGAATGGAAGCATGGAACAGAAGTGTCTTTATGGCAGACTGACTAAGATAATGAGCTTCCAACCCCTTAATTAGGTTTGTCCTCATGGTGGCTTCAGTCTCTGTGACGGGATGATGATTCCATTTTAATTTTATCATTCATTTTTAAATTACAGCTCTGCTTTGAGAGCAGGAACATTTTTTAAACATGGTTAAATGCTTAAGATGACACAAACATGAGGTTTATGTCTACGGTGGTTTCAAGGTAAGGGGAGAAATCTGGTAAGACCATGGGGCTCAAGGTTTTAGGGTCAACTGGGCCCAGTTGTCTCTGATGCTTCACAGGTTTCTGTAACACGGTCTTTTCCAACTGCAGACAGAATTTGTTGTTGTAAGTGATCAAAGGTGGAACACCTGTAGGTGCTGTTTGCACAATATTTATTTTGACTCATTATTTTCTTTGCCTGTTCAGAAAACCTCTCTCTCGCTCTCCCACTCAGGTTGATAAGAACCGATTTATTTGTGGAAGTAGATAAGCAGCAGGTAGCGCCCCGGGTGAACCAGAGGTTCAGCGACAGGCGGAGTCAAAAGACCCAGGTAGAGGATAAGAATCAGGCCTGTGCGCCTGAGACCGTAGGATAATCAGCATTTGCATATCAGGTATCTGGCTGGCAGCTAATGATTCACGAGTGAGGCACCGAGCAGGAGAGCTGTAAGGGCTTCTTCACTGGATCCCCTTCATAATAAAATAAGACTTTGTTTTAAGTATTTTTAAAAAGTACTTCATTAAAAAATGATTCAAATAAAGTATCACTTTTTCACATTGATCTCCCTGGTGAAGGTTTGTCAGATGAAAAATAAACTGGGGCTACTGACCAGCCAAGAAACCCCAACACCCCCAATGCCAAGTGTCCTCTGTGCAAATGATACCACCTACAGCACAAAAAGGCTCTTGGAGACCTCTGCACCCTTAGCTAAGAGAGCTCAAGCAGAAGCCAAACAGAGAGCCACTTGTCTGGAGGTGCAAAAGCCAGGGTGGATTTTCTCTGCTTTCTAAAGGCGTCTGCAATTACGTGTGCGTTTATGCTACAAGGACACAATCAGAGAGAGTTTTTAGTGTCGTCAGGAACATTGTAACCCTTCTCCGAACTGCTCTGAAACCACGAGGTTAACCTGTTAGCCTTGGATGTCTTGGACACAGATGACTGTGTGCTCTTTTGTGCTGAGATTAAACTCGACCACCTCCTGTTTGTCATGCACAGATGTTGGCTTGTCCTCAGTGATGGTGGCCCAAGGGTAAACAGATGCCAGAGGATTAGGGAGAGAATGAGGGGACGCAAGATGGAAACACTGGGCAGATCCTCAGCTGCTGAGATGATGATACGCTAGATTTGGAGAGAGAGATGTGATGCAGCTGGAGTGTAGGCCGAGAGATTGGAGACGGGAAGAGAAGGACAAAGTGAGAGAGAGCGAGAAAATGGATGTAACTGTGTTGGCTCTTTGTCGATAGGCAGGATCTTTAGTTTGTACCTTAAACATTTTGTATTTCAAATCAAAAGGGAAAAGTAAATACATCATTCACTACAGTGGGGGTTTTACAGTACAAACAAAACTTGGTTTAAATATTCAAAGCTTCAAAAAGCAACTCAAAGGTGGCAGCGTCCTGTCCTGGAAGGAAATAAGAGGAAGAAATGTTGAACATGGAGCTGGGGGAGTGGTGGGGGGTTAGTTATGTGTAGTTAGCCATTGTGTTGCACAAAACAATTCATTAATTACATGGCATCCTCAGATATCGCTCTTCCCTGTAAATTCTTCCTCTCTTGTGTTCTTGGCAGGCCGTGCACACCAGACTTAAGCCACCGTGAACGGTGCTGATGGAGTCAGTGGTGGAGGGGTTTGGGGATTCAGGGGAGGGAGGCTAAGGAAACTGCTGCAAGGTCAAAGCCATCTGGTCCTTTGACCACCTGGGATGCTGTGTGTGTGTGTGTGTTGTTTTGCGTTGCGATGCCACCGGCCTGTCCGTTGTTACATAACAGCTCTGACAGGCACATTGCTGCAGCAGCTCTGACGGAGCGCTGTGGTTGGGTGTGGGTTTTGTTTTGTGCTCTTGACTATGACTCGGTAAGAACGTTCAGTGAAGTGTGACAGCGTTTTCACATAGAAAGAGAAGATGTGAAGCTAAATGGCGCTTTTCTTTTTCCTGGCCTCAAAGTTCACATCTTCATTTTTCTCATCTGCTTACCGCTCTGATCCTTAGTCAGTTCAAATGCTCCGACGTGCACGCTCATGATGTGGTCTTCAAGAACCAACAGTCCCAGCATAAGAAGCTTTGGTGATGCTCATTCACATGTAGCACGCCCGTACCAGTCGACTCAGCCTGTCCTTGTTACAGCTTTCCCTCTCAACACAGCTGCAGCACTCGTCCTAAGTCTGGATGCATCTGACTTCTGACCGCTGCTGAACTCATCTGTGGTTCATTCAGCCCAGAATCTCAGCCACTCGCAGTTCGTTCACCTCTCTCCTTAAATAAACATGGACATCACGTTCGGGTTTGCTCAGACTAGTCAGGCACACTGGGACACAAAGGACGGTGTGTTTACATCGCTCGTATGGCTGTCTTTGATAGACATTCCCAAATCGTTCTTCCTCTTTGGAGGAAATTAATTGCCAGCCTTGATCGAGGAGCAGAGCTGAAAATAATCCAGTTTCCTT